CTTGTAGATCATTTTGTTTACTATATGCTGAATGCCAAGGAAATCTAGTCTGACTACAAAGAGATTTGCACTCTGGAATTATTTGAATTGTGTTTCCTTATCAAGATAAATTAAGGGATATTGTGGTCTAAGTTACACTTAAATATCTTAAATGTAGCATTTGGATACAGATAACTGTTTCGGTTTTAAGGAAGCCTTCTTTTGGGGGGAAATTCTCTTCATTATTATGTTCGCTTTTTTTTAAACCATGTTCTTCCCAGTTCACTTTTGATGTCAAGGACAGTTCAGAAATTTCTATGGATAAATAGACATTTTGATAGTGGTCAAACCATTGTCAAATTCTTTGTAGTATATACAAAATCTGAAGAAAAATTCTGTATTTACACCATTCTTCTTTCTTTTACAGTATCTTTCCTCAATTACACTTTAAAGTAATTAATAAATGCCCCCAATTTTGGATTAAAGTGTCTTGCTATTCTAGATTATATAACTGGTAAGAAATTGTTATAGCTAAAAGTTTTAACTAAGAGGTGTGTATAACATAATGATTAAGAACAAACATTTTGGATTAGAATTCTGGCTGTTCCATATACTTACAGTGCAATCAAGAGATTTTCTGAGACTTAGTTTCCTTATCTGTAATGTAGGGATAATGAAAAATTTTATTTTATAGGCCGATTGTGATAATGGAATTATATAGCCCGTAATTTTTAGCACAGTTCCTGGCACGTAGACAGAATTCCGTAAAAACCAGTTATTATTGATAATATTATTTTAGCAGCATAATAGTATAGTAGCAAGCATTGCATTTTATATTAAGAATATGGCTAGAATTGGGCAAATGCCTACTTGCAGGTATATTTTTAGAAATCCCCAAATTTATTTTTCCCAGACCAAAATCTGCTCTTCCAGGGAAAGATGTTGATTGTCATTGTACAGTAATTTCTTTGTTTATTGTACTTTTGCAGCATTTCAGAATGCCTTGAAGATTTTTCACAGGATAAAAGGTGGTCAAGTTTCAGTTTCTGAAGTGGGTGAAGTGTTGGATAGCATGGATATCTTGGTGGTCCCTGAAACTTTGCAGGAAGTGATAAAATACACTAATATCAACAGTGAGTTATTTGAATTGATGTATACGTATTTCTTTCTTGGCTACCAATTTTTCTGACTCATCCTTTACTTCTCCTTTTTCTACTTGATTCTTGCCTTTTGCCATGACACTGCTTACTGGTGTCTATGATAAAAGTTGGCCTAGAAAAATTAAGTGAGAAATTTCTAATTGTTATATTTTGATATGTTTGGCAAAAATATAAGAGAAAAATGGAATTTTAAAATTTTCAATGTTATCTCTCTTTTCCAATTGTCATTTCTTGTTTTTTTGGAGAGGTAGTTTCTGTGGTATCAAGAGCATTGACTCCACAAGTTAGGAGACCTAAATTTCTTAAATTTCCAACTTTGTTTTGTAACTTTGATTACAAAATCTTCCTGTGCTGTACAATTACATTCTCTTTAAACTGTATGTTTAGCATATGTTTTATATTAAGTGTTTACATGTGACCAAGAGATGTCCTATAATAATGGATTGATTAGTGATTGATTAATTGATTTATCCATTCATTTAATGAGTCAGATAGCCATTTAATATCTACTGTGCCTGAAACTATGGTAGGTGATATACAGATGAATAAAACATATTTATTGTTCTGAAGGAGCATGCATTCTGATGTAGAAAAAGGCAAATAAACTGAAAATTATGATAATATATGTAGCAAATACTATTATAGAGTGTATTTATGCATATTGGAAGCATTAGAAAAAGATTATTAGAGGAGGTGATGTCTGAGCTAAATGTTGAAGGATTTGTAGGAGTTAGTTGCAGATGGTGGTGGAGGGTGAAACTTTTTAGACTGAAGGAACAGTTTGTGTAAATGTGGCAGGAAAATAATCAGACATGGCATCCTTTCTGGTGGGATTATACTGGATTTTGTCATTTGGTAGTGGTGGCTTTATAGTAGGCCTTTGATTGGTGAAGTGTAGTCTGGAGGTAGAAGCAGGCTGCATGCAGTTTCAGTAGGTAGTCATTTATGGTGGGCTCTTGGGTGATAGACATGAATGGAGAGATATGTATTGGAGCATGAAGATGTATATAAATTGGAATTTTAAAGACTAATCTTAAGTCATATTAAATAACCTTCAGGGCATGCTCTACCAGGAGCAACAGAAATCATATATGAAACTACTGCATTGCCTTGCTTTTTGTCTTATGAAATTCTAGTCTGGGCTTCTAGGTCACCCACGTTATATGGAGACATGGATTAGACAAATAATACTAATTTCATAGGATTATTGTAGGATGTAGATATAAAAATTTATCACTGTTTGGCACCTAGAACAGGCTCAAGAAATGTGAAGCAGAAACCTAAGAATCATCCTTGACAGCTCTGTTTTCTATGTGAAATTATTATGAAGTACTATTATTTTAAAATCCTACATATCTCTTAAATCTGTTTTCAGCATTGCTAATTTTTCCTTAGGACAATTGGAAGTCTACCCATATTCTAACAAGTCTACCCATATCCAGGCTTCCCTGATAGCTCAGTTGGTAAAGAAGCTGCCTGCAATGCAGGAGACCCTGGTTCGATTCCTGGGTCTGGAAGATCCCCTGGAGAAGGGATAGGCCACCCACTCCAGTATTCTTGGCCTTCCCTTGTGGCTCTGCTGGTAAAGAATCTGCCTNCCGCATTGCAGGCAGATTCTTTACCAGCTGAGCCACAAGGGAAGACCAAGAATACTGGAATGGGTAGCTTATCTCTTCTCCAGCAAATCTTCCTGACCCAGGAATCAAACTGTGGTCTCCTGCATTGCAGGTGGATTTTTTTACCAACTGAGCTATCAGGGAAATATTTATTTTTTAAAAAAAAATTTATTTATTTTTAACTGAAGGATAATTGATTTATAATATTGTATTGGTTCCTGCCATACATCAACATGAATCAGCCATGAGTGTACATATGTCTACTCCCTGTGAACCTCCCTCCCCCCTCCCACCCCCCCACCTCTCTAGGTTGTCACAGAGCACAGGTTTGAGCTCCCTGCACCATACAGCAAATTCCCACTGGCTATCTGCTTTACATATGGTAATGTAAATGTTTCCATGCTACTCTCTCCATTGTCCCACCCTTTCTTCCACCCCATGTCCACAAGTCTGTTCTCTATGTCTGCATCTCCACTGCTACCCTGCATATATGTTCATCAGTACCATCTTTCTAGATTCCATATATATGCATTAGTATATGATATTGTTTTTCTCTTTCTGACTTACTTCATTTTGTATAATAGGCTCTAGATTTGTCCACATCATGTGAGCCAACACAAGTACATTCCTTTTAATAGCTGAGTAATATTCCATTGTGTATATGTATCACAACTTCTTTATCCATTCATCTGTCAATGGACATCTAGATTGTTTCCATGTTTTAGCTACTATTGTAAATAGTGCTGCAATGAACATTGGGCTACATATATCTTTTTAAATGATGGTTTCCTCAGGGTCCTGCTTAATACTTTAAACTACAGTCTGTTTTTTGGAGATGTTTCCCTGACCTCTCTGACTAGGTCATATTCTCATATTGTACACTTTCACAGGATTGATCTCAGTTGCAATTTATATTTTAAACTGTTTGATTAAGGTTTGTGTATTAATTAACACTAGTTAAGCACCAGGAGAGCAGATATCGTGTCTACTTTTGCTCAATTTTGTATCCTCAGTATATAGCACAGTGAATATGGCAGATATTAACCACTGAAACAATGTTGAAAGAATTAATAATTCTCAGTCCTTATTCCATCTCCCCCAGCCAGGAAGAACAAGATTTCTTCATTTTGTCATATTAATGAAGTCTTATGTTTCAGTGTATACTGAATTACTAATTCATAATTCCAGATATTGTTCAAAGCCCATAATAGCTGGCCCTTTTTTCCTACTTGCACATATTTATGTGGTGTTTTAATTTTAGAATAGGATAGCAGCTGTATTGTGTTCAAAAGGAAATACAGTGTCTAAACTCAGGAATTCTTTGTATTACAGGTAATCAAATGGTGGATATTGGGGATATTATATTTACTTTGGATGAACTACAGCAAGAGTATGAGAATATTTGTAAGTGATCTCTTGTTGCTATAGCAAGTTTTGTTTACAAATTGTCTTTAAGTACTAATTTATAGATTTTATTATATGAGTTTTGAAAGACTTCTTTAAACCCTTTACACTCTTAAATCAGAGAGATAAAAATTTAATATAGTACCCTGAATATGCCTGAAAATCAATATTATAATTATATTCCCTGATGGCTCAGATGATAAAGAATCTGCCTACATGGCAGGAGACCCAGGTTCAATCCCTGGGTCAGAAAGATCCCCTGGAGAAGAAATTGGCTACCTATTCTATTCTTGCTTGAAGAATTCCATGGACAGAGGAGCCTGGTGGGCTACAGTCCATGGGGTCACAGAGGGTCAGACACGACTGAGTGACTAACATTTTCACATAATTATCTAATATTACAATCTCATAATTTTTCTGTTTTTACCTTTCTCTTAATATCTTGCAACATAGTCAACTTTAAAACAAAGTAGTAACACTAAAAAAAAGATAATATTTAATTTGCAATTTGTGGTCATTCTGACATCCTGACATTGACTGTTTAAAAAACCATAGTATGTTTTTCTCTATCACTCATTGTTTAGTTTTTCTTCATTAAGTGCATTGTTTTTGATGTTTTCCTCTTGCACATCGTCATTCTTTACTCTTGTTTCATTTGTCCAAATGTCATTTGATCAAGATTATCTATGTACATAATTTTAAGGATTACATAGCTCTGTAAATCTTGCTAGAAAAAAAAAAGAAAAGCAGCCTCTTGCCTAATCCTCCTCTCAGCTTCTCCAGAGGTGAAAATTTCAAATGTTTTAGCTGATTACTTGATATTTATCTTCATGACTGAAAATAGCATGTTTATATTGCTACTTGTTAATTTCTAAAATTTTAGATAGACAAAGTAAACTTCCTACTATTGATGCTGAAAGCTTGCCTTCTCTGCACCCATGCTGGATTGAATCTCAGAAACAGAGTTTTGGGTGAAGTAGAAAAGAATAGCTTTATTGATTTGTCAGGGAAAGGAGAACACAGTGGATTCCTGTCCTGAAAAACTATGCATCCCAACCCAGGGGAGTTTGGTCAGGGCTTTTATAATAATGGTCCAAGAGTACGGTCTCTGACAAAATTAAAGTGTATACAGATGCTTTCAAATTGTGGTGCTGGAGAAGACTCTTGAGGGTCCCTTGGACAGCAAGGAGATCCAGCCAGGTAATCCTAAAGGAAATCAGTCCTGAATATTCATTGGACAGACTGATGGTGAAACTGAAGTTCTAATATTTCGGCCACCTGATGCAAAGAGCTGACTCATTGGAAAAGACCCTGATGCTGGCAAAGATTGAGGGCAGGAGGAGAAGGGGATAACAGAGGATGAGATGGTTGGATGGCATCACTGACTCAATGGACATGAGTTTGAGCAAACTCTCAAACTCTCTAAGTCCAGGGAGCCCTGGACTTAGCGACTGAGCAACAAACACCAGCAGGGCTTACACTCCCTTAACCTTGTCTCAGGTGGCTGGTCTCCTAATCTTGATTAGTTTCTATGATCCCTTTAGTCTTGCCTCTGATAGTTACTTGGCTGCTTCTCCCTTGATTGTTGTTCAGTCGCTCAGTCCTGTCCAGCTCTTTGCAACCCCATGAACTGCAGTATACCAGGCTTCCAAGTCCTTCACCATCTCCCAGAGTTTGCTCAAACTCATGTCTCTCAAGTCCATTGTCCCCTTCTCCTCCTACTTGGTCATCAGGTGACCAAGTACTGGAGCTTCAGCTTCAGCATCAGTTTTTCCAATGAATATTCAAGGTTGATTTTCTTTAGGGTTGACTGGTTGGATCTCCTTGCTGTCCAAGAGACTCTCAAGAGTCTTTTCCAGCTTCACAGTTTGAAGGCATCAATTCTTTGGCACTCAGCCTTTTTTATCCCTGGCTCTCACATCCATACATGATTACTGGAAACACCATAGCTTAGACTATACAGACCTTTGTCAGCAAAGTAATGTCTCTGCTTTTTAATACACTGTCTAGGTTTCAGGGTAGGTCATGGAGGCTGGAGTCTTGCCTGTGAGAAATGGGGGACACAAGGACTTCCATGCCTGGGGGTCCCACAGAGCCTCATTTGGTTTTTACAATTGAAAATAAGAATTTAGTTCTGTTTCATTTTCCCTGTCTATGCCACATCCACCTACTCTTCCTGGACCTATTAAGAAGAGGTGGCAAGAATACACAGAAGAACTATACAAAAAAGATCTTCATGACCCAGATAACCACGAATGGGAAATTAATCATCTAGAGCCAGACAGTCTGGCGTGCAAAGTCAAGTGGGCCTTAGAAAGCATCACTACGAACAAAGCTAGTGGAGGTGATGGCATTCCAGCTGAGTTGAGCTATTTCAAATCCTAATAGGTGATGCCGTTAAAGTGCTGCACTCAATATGTCAGCACATTTGGAAAACTCAGCAGTGGCCACAGGACTGGAAAAGGTCAGTTCTCATTCAAATCCCAAAGACAGGCAATGCCAAAGAATGTTCTAACTACCTCACAATTGCACTCATCTCACACACTAGCAAAATAATGCTGAAAATTCTCCAAGCAAGGCTTCAACAGTATTTGAACTGAGAACTTCCAGATGTTCAAGCTGGATTTAGAAAAGGCAGGGGAACCAGAGATAATATTGCCAACATCCATTGGATCATAGAAAAAATAAGAGAATTCCAGAAAAAAACATCTGATTCATTGACTATGCTAAAGTCTTTGACTGTGTGGATCACAACAAATTGTGGAAAATTCTTAAAGAGACAGGATTACCAGACCACCTTACCTGCCTCCTGAGAAATCTGTATGCAGATCAAGAAGCAACAGTTGGACCTGGACATGGAACAATAGACTGGTTCCAAATCGGGAAAAGAGTATGTCAAGGCTGTATATTGTCATCCTGCTTATTTAACATATGCAGAATACTTCATGCAAAGTGCTGAGTTGGATGAAGCACAAACTGGAATCAGGACTGATGGGAGAAATATCAATAACCTCAGATGTGCAGATAACACCAGGGTTATGGCAGAAAGTGAGGAGGAACTAAAGAGCCTCTTGATGAAAGTGAAAGACGACACTGAAAAAGTTGCCTTAAAACTCAGCATTCAAAAAACGAAGATCATGGCATCTTGTCCCATCAGTTCATGGCAAATAAATGGGGAAACAATGGAAACAGTGACAGACTTTGTTTTCTTGGGCTCCAAAATCACTGCAGCTGGTGATTGTAGCCATGAAATTAAAAGATGCTTGTTCCTTGGAAGAAAAGCTATGACCAACCTAGACGGCATATTAAAAAGCAGAGACATTACTTTGCTGACAGTGGTCCATCTAGTCAAAGCTATGGTTTTTCCAGTAGTCATGTATGGATGTGAGAGTTGGACCATGAAAAAAGCTGAGCACAGAAGAATTGATGCTTTTAAACTGTGGTGTTGGAGAAGACTCTTGAGAGTCCCTTGGACTGCAAGGAGATCCAACCAGTCCATCCTAAAGGAAATCAGTCTTGAATATTCATTGGAAGACCTGATGCTAAAACTGAAGCTCCAGTACTTGGTCACCTGATGCAAAGCACTGACTCATTGGAAAAGACCCTGATGCTGGGAAAGATTGAAGATGGGAGGGGAAGGGACAACAGAGGATGAGATTGTTGGATGGCATCACGGACTTGATGGACATGAGTTTGAGCAGGCTCTGGGAGTTGGTGATAGGGAAGCCTGGCATGCTGCAGTCCATGGGATTGCAAAGAGTCAGACAGGACTGAGTGACTGAACTGAACTGAACATTTTATGTGTAGTTATATTCCTGGAATCTCTCTTAATTAACATTCTGGAAGAAGATTTTTCACTTCTTTCCCTGTATGAGATTCTGTACTCATGTTTGATTGGCAGTTTAAGTATAGAATTCTAGGTTGGAAATAAATTTCCTTAGAATTTTTCTGTTTTCCAGTTTTCAGTGTTGCTGTCAAATCCACAATTCTTTTGATTCCTGACTTTTTGTATGTAATTGGTTTTTTCTTTGAAATTTTATAGAATAATTTCTTTACCTTTAGTGTTCTGAAATGTCATGGTTATGTGCCTTGAAATAGATTGTTTTGGCAACAATTGCATTGGGTACAGTATAATGTGATTCTGGGAAATTTAAGCAATTTGTTGATGATTTCCTTTTCTCTGTAACTTTCATTACTTGGATACTTGACATCCTGAATAGATTTTCCTTCTTTAAAAAAAAAAAAACCAACCTTTTTCTCTGTTATTTTTTGGTGAGATGTACTTAACTTTATCTTCCAACCCATGTGTTTAGGCTTTCATTTGTACTTTTAAGATTTCCAAGAATTTTTTTTCCCCTTCTGAAAGTATGTTCTTTTAACATCTTCTTGTTATATGGATATTCCTATTGTTCCATGAACATAATATCTTCTGTTGTGCTAAGGATGATGTTTTAAAATTTTTCTTTTTCTTTCATAGTGTTTTTTCCAAGTTATTTTTCTTTTATTTGGCCTTCGTCTTAGAGGCATTCTCCAAATGTCTGGTGATCTTTGGTTGTCTGCTTATGTTTGAGAATGATGAACTCAAAGCTGTTTGGAAGCTCTGAGACTGGGAGTGTGAACTAGTTGACTATGGACTGAGCACTCTAGAGTAGTGGTTCTTAACCAGAAGTGATTTTGGTTAATACTCTCCCACAGGAACATTTGGCAACTTGTGGAGATGATTTTTGGTCATTAAAACATGTGTTACTGTCATTAAGTGATTAGAGGCCAGGGATGCTTCTGTTGACTTTAAAAAAAAAGCACAACCTAAAAGTTGAGAATTGTGTTTTATTGGGGCATTAATGAGGACTTAAGCCTGGGATATAGCCTCTCAGAAAGCTCTGAGGGGCTGTTCCAAAGAGATAAGGGAGGAGCCAGGATATACAGGAGTTTTTGCAAAACTCCTATAGAATTCATGTAATCAAATATCAAAACATTACTGCCCATTAAAGAAAATCCAG